CCCCCCCCCCCCTTTAATAAGCCTTTACCTGAGTGAGTTCTACTGTGCTCTAAATCATTCAAACTCTTTTGACAGTTCCTTTTGCAAGACGTTGCACTGTTTCATGCTTTTCATCTTCAGAAAGATCTTTCTTCTTCCCCATACTGTATGAGAACTGTGACTCGCTTAATTACTTGGAACAACCTCTATAGGCAGGTTTTCCATTTACCCAAGAAGACTTGATTGGCAAATTATTTAAGAAACCTGTCTGAGATTGATACCTGTTATCTAAAAAGATAGGAGAAATAAAACCAACACTTTCTTTGAAAAACTAAAATCTGAATGATTATTTTACTGAAATCCTACTGATATGTCACTTGCATAATATTTGGAACACAGTGTAGTTGAAAAAAACCCCACAGGATCCAACAGCCTTGATTTTATATGTAATGGTGCAGTATATTAAAAATGGTTTTATGGAAAAAGAGCTTGATTGTATAAACACATTAATTACATGTATTATTAATTAAATCAGGGATGGGCAACTGGCGGCCCATAGTGTCTTTTAGTACGGCACGCTGGATCATATTAGACTCGGATGATCAGTTTATGATGTTAATACTATCTCCAACCAGGAGAGGTCGCTAGTTTCCAGCCGTTCCCCTTATTAATTTCAGCGTAGAAGGACGTGTACTCTAATGTAAACATTCCCTAACATTAGCAAATAATAAATGAAAAACTGACCATGAAAACAGTATTTTCCAGTCAAGATGGTAAACAGATTATCTTTTTAACAAGTTCAAGGGGATACCCATATGTTTGGAAATCTGTATTTTATTTAAATCGCCATCACACCACTGCTCACAAACAACGGGGACGCCAGAGTTGCACTTGCCTCAAATTTCAAAGGTAAAATTCATAGTCAACAAAAGCTTTTTGCCAAATGCATGACAGAAATGTTTGCACTGAACTATGTTCTTATTAGGGTTTCCAGGTTATTTTATGCAACCATTTGGAATAACTATTTTTTTTTTTGAATAAGCCCTTTTTAACTGACCTCTTAGGTTGTTTTGAGAATGTTCTGTAGGCCACTAATAAAAAAAGGACCTCAGGTGTGTGGACGTGGATTAGTAATCTGGCCCCTTGGTATAAAGGAGAAAAAATGCTGGCCCTCGTCACTATCAGAGTTGCCCATCCCTGAATTACATGTACAGCCGTGACCAAAAGTTTTGAGAATGACACAACTATTAATTTTCAAGTCTGCTGCCTCAGTTTTTATGATGGCAATTTGCATATACTCCAGAATGTTATGAAGAGTGATCAGATGAATTGCAATTAATTGCAATTAATTGCAAAGTCCCTCTTCGCCATGAAAATTAACTTAATCCCCAAAACATTTCCAGTATTTCAGCCTTGCCAGATTGTGGGCTAATTTTCATTTTTGGGTGAACTAACCCTTTAACACAGGTGAGAGTGTTGACGAGGACAAGGCTAGAGATCAGCGGGATCGGGGCACCACCAGTGCAGAACTTGCTCAGGAATGGCAGCAGGCAGGTGTGAGTACATCTGCACGCACAGTGAGGTGAAGACTTTTGGAGGATGGCCTGGTGTCAAGAAGGGCAGCAGAGAACCAACTTTTCTCCAGAAAAAAACAAACATCAGAGACAGACTGATATTCTCCAAAAGGTACAGGGATTGGACTTCTGAGGACTGGGGTAAAGTCATTTTCTCTGATGAACCCCCTTTCCGATTGTTTGGGGCATCCGGAAAAAAGCTTGTTCGGAGAAGAAAAGGTGAGCGCTACCATCAGTCCTGTGTCATGCCAACAGTAAAGCATCCTGAAACCATTCATGTGTGGTGTTGCTTCTCAGCCAAGGGAGTGGGCTCAATCACAATTTTGCCTAAGAACAAAACCATGAATAAAGAATGGTTCAAAAACAACCTCCGAGAGCAACTTCTCCCAGCCATCCAAGAACAGTTTGGTAAGGAACAATGTTTTCCAGCATGATGGAGCACCTTGCCATAAGGCAAAAGTGATAATTAAGTGGCTCGGGGAACAAAACATTGACATTTTGGGTTCATGGCCAGGAAACTCCCCAGACCTTAATCCCATTGAGAACTTGTGGTCAATCCTCAAGAGGCGGGTGGACAAACAAAAACCCACAAATTCTGACAAACTCCAAGTATTGAATATGCAAGAATGGGCTGCCATCAGTCAGGATGTGTCCCAGAAATTGATTGACAGCATGCCAGGGCGAATTGCAGAGGTCTTGAAAAAGAAGGGTCAACACTGCAAATACTGAGTCTTTGCATAAACTTATTGTAATTGTCAATAAAAGCCTTTGACACTTATGAAATTCTTGTAATTTTACTTCGGTGTACCATAGTAACATCTGACAAAAAGATCTAAAAACACTGAAGCAGCAGACTTTGTGAAAATTAAAATTTGTGTCATTCTCAAAACTTTTGGCCACGGCTGTACTCCCTGACCATAATGAATTTCCCTTACTGTTGTGCAATGCTTTACATTATCTTAGATTTAGTACTTCTGCCAAATTCTCACCCAGTTTACTTTCTTACCATCATCAGCTTGACAGACAGCAGTAAAGGTCCAAACCAGAATGAACAGTTGCACAACATTTACAGCATTCATGGTGGTGATTCTGCAATAAAAAATTAAAAAAATTTGCAATTTGGACAAATAATGAACTACCAGAGATTAGATAGTAGATAACAACTTCAAAAAGAAGATGATTTACAGAAAGCTTTTTGCACACTTACGGTCAAGTAGGTCTTCACACTGTGTGAGTTTATTTCACATGAACGTAACTAAGTTTCAGAATTACTCAACTACCTGTCTTGGCACAGTGGTTTTTGACCATGTTTATTTTCAGATCGAAAAAAAAAAAAAAGGTGTGATATGCAACAAAAGAGTGCTGTTGCTGTTATAACTAATGTCAAACACTGATGGAAATGTTTGTTAATGATTATTGCATGCATAAGCGTGTGATATTTGTTATTTTTAATGGCATCAGTGCATTAACTAAACACCCTGAAAATGACCTTTAAAAGCGGACCTCTCAAAAATATCTTTTAATATAATTCACAAAGAGCATCAATCATCAAACAATCAATTTTGAAATCTAAAACAATCAAGCACACGTGGGAAGTCTGGTGTGTTTCATTATAGTTTGTTATTTATTTCTGTATTTTAGGCCATCATAAAGAGAGGCTGTACAAACACGGTCCTTACAGAACTTCATACAAGCGAACCACATATGAAAGACCAGGAACAAAGTGAAAGAATAAAGAAACTTGAAAGAAATAAAAAAGTAAACAAAACAATTTAGTGTTTCCTTCACTTTCAGTCGATAACAACATCAGTTTTGTCCTCATTGACATTATAACGAGCTTAAACAAGCAGCAATCCTCCACCAAGAGTCATCAAACGACACTCAATCCACAACAAAATCACCTCAGAACAAGACACAAGATGCAAATGAGAGCAGAAGAATTTCATGCCGTTTATGTACATTCAGGTGCTGCTTAATTAAAAATATAGTTTCATATGATAATCATATTGGTCACAGTCGACTGATTTCATCATAGCAGGACACGACAGACGCTCAGCAGAGTCAGACGTGATGTGTGTGTTTGTATGTGCATTATATAGAGCAGTATATCGACACACACTGGACAGTAAATCAACATTAAACATGAAAAGTCAACAAAATGACAAATATGCATACAAACACAAACCGAGCAACGCATCAGTGGATCTTTCCACTCTCGCTCTGGTTTCGTATGTTTGGCTAAAGACAGCGTTCTGCTGGTAGAAGAATGCATGGCAACTGTTACATTATATTCAAATGACACCTGAGCAGAGAATGGCTTTCCGACTTTATATTCACCTAAAATCGCACAAGATTATTCAACATCATGCTCTCTGGATATACAGCGCTGTATCGATAAGGTGGGTACAACAGCAGATTTCAGCAGTGAAATCAACACTGACGGTTGATGAATTGAGTAAAACTCACAAAACACTAACAGGTCATGATTTCACACCAAAATCAACACAAAAAGTATTCTAGTTAAAGATTTTCAGGACCATACATGCATTACAGCAATGGGATATAAAATGTGTGCTTCATTGTCATGAAAATAATGTCTAATGTCACAATGCCAATATCAAAAATAAATAAATGGTCTTGAAAAACTAGGTCAAGATATTCAAGCCCATTTCAGGACAATTCAATAAAAATAATAATAATAATAATAATAATAACGAATTTTATTTAAATTGCGCTTTTCTCAAACCCAACGTGCCATTAAATAATATAAATATATAAATAATGGTCCTAAAATGGGCTTCAATATATTTACCTAAAATGTTATTTATTATATTTATACTATTTTTATATATATATTTTTTTGTATTTTAAATAATGCCAATTTCAATTAAAAAAAGCTGTTTTATTACAGTATGTCAGGCTACATTAAATAGAAACTAAAGAGTATAAAATGATGGGAATTTCAAAATAAATGCATGTATTTGGAAGAAATGTGCTTACTTTTCATGAAAATAATGTCAATATAAAAAATGTATAAATAAACCCTTAACGGTCCCTTAAACCCTTAATATTTTTTCCTTTTGATTTTGGAGTGAAATGTGACTTAAGATGCGTTTTCTTGTGATATTGACCCAAATAACTTTACAAAGTTCATAAACGGGCATTCATTTTTTACTTGTATTCCTCTTGTATTTCCTCCTATCTGCCCTTTAGACGCTCTGTTTCGACTCAAGTCAACACAGCTCAGAGAGTTTGTGGAAATGTTATCTTACACCATATTTACTCACTGAAACACCACATGATTATCTGCAAAAGGATCCATTAAGGAAAAAACAATGCTTGAGATTGAAATGTGATGCCGGAATCTCGTCACCATGGTGAAAAACATGGTACATTCAACGGTTTCAAGCACCCGATTCATCGCGTCACAGGATGCTGCGTGCCGTGTAATTAAACATCCACATATGCGTCGATCACACAAACAGGCCTATGCTGAATATTGCATGTGGCAGTTTTGATTGACACACCACATTCATTATAAGTTTTAAAACATTCCTTAAATAGGTGATATATTTTTGAGCATATACACACTCTCTCTCATCGATTACATAAGAAAGCAATAAGGGGAAGTGCGTCTTAAACACTGACTAACTGCGTTTAACAGGAAAAAGATGACATTCAGTGCGCTGCGTGGGTAACGGGTCCGTTTGACTCATGAACTACACGCTGTGAGCCTCCTACCGACTTCAGCTTCTGTTGAACTGAACAAACACGATAGATTGTCACTAGTCAGCCATGCCGTACACAGCAGACAACATTCAGCCAAGAGAATAATGCAGAAAGACAAGGACGAGAAGCTAAAATAGAGCATATTCAAGAAATGAACTATACAGACAAAGATACGCGTCTCTGTTCGTTTCACTGCGGAAATCATTTTCTCAAACTGTTTTTTTTTTTATCTTGTCTTGTTCTCTCACTAAAATATCTAAACATCCTTAAAACGTAATTTTGCATATTATGATTTCAGAGAAAACGTCTTGGATTTTGCGAATCATCTTTTCCCCTGTTTTAGGCATAAATGTAACAAAATTTGGTGAGGTTTCTGCCTAAAAACTAAGGGGAAAAAAAAACTAATTTGCCAATAGAACTTGTTTTCAGTGAATATATCTTGAATTAAGTTTATTTTTCTTAACTTATTCACAAATAGATTTTTTTAAGAACGAATCTAACAATATAGTGAGGTTTGTGCTTGAAAATGAGAAAATTGCTAATAAACTTAATTCAAGATTTATTACAACATTTTTTCTCAACTAAATAGATTTCATTTTAATTTTCACCAAAAATATCTAAACATTCTTAAAATGTACATTTGCATACTGAAACTTGTTTTCAGAGAATATAACTTGAATTAAGTTGATCTTTTTTTCTGAATTTTTCACAAATGTTTTTTCCTATTTTACGCATAAATCTTACAAAATTTGTTGAGGTTTGTGCTTTAAAACTAGGGAAAAATACAATCTGTAAATGACGTAAGAAAAACTTAATTCAAGACACAATATACAAAATTTGTTTCTCAATTATAGATCTAATTTTAAGGATGCTTAAATTTTATAAGAAAAAAGACAAAATACTGATTGAGAAAATGAGTTTCGCAGTGTAATTATATTTAGTGTTCAGTGCAAAAGACGTTTTAGGGCAAAACGGGGTTTTGCAGAGCAAACGGATGGTGCATTTAGTGACTATGATGTCCCTGTGCATTACTGTACAAATACAGATCGCTAATGCTTAGAACAACATGAAGAAATAGCTAGTTGCATACGGGCTAGTCAGTTTTCTGCTCATCTACTGTTCATAAACACGACAAAATGAGACGCCCATATGACAAATAACAAGCATCGTGTTTCACCGTGCAAAATACACAGATCCTAGACGTCGCCCTGCCAAGCGTTGATACTTTTCGTGACCATTTGAGCAGAATTTGTGAATTTTAATATGCATGGTAAACAAATGAGTTATTTCTAGAAATGCAAAAACTGAAGACCTTCTAACACGATCATATTTTAAAGGTTTGAAGACGTTTAGGCCCAGATTTGACTTGGTAGTGTGCGATGAAATGGCTTCAGGTAAGAAATCGCAGAAGAAACCGAGAACTAGAAGGCAAAGGAAGGTTATGCATTTCATATTTACGTTCCTCCGAATCCTAATCACGTTCTCCCATCCAGATCCCATAGCACCTTGTATTGTGACATCACCCAGCCATCAGCCAATCACAGAGTCAGATTCAGTCGGAATCAACACCCCTTCCTGATGGCACACAGAGCAGGGAGGGCGCACACAGGAAAGAGAGAGACCTCACTTCCTCTCCAGTACAGCGAGCTTCCTGTGGGTGGCGGCGGCGGCTTCACTTGCAGACGGCCTGCCGGTAGCTGTGTCTCTGGCCCTGACCGCGGGAGCAGCCGTTGTTGCCGTTGCCGGATGGTTCTTGTGCGCCGGCGGCAGCGCTTTGACTCGCGCCGTCTCTGGTGCTGCAGGTCATACTGCTCTCCTGCAGCGTGGGGCTGGATTGAGCTCTCTGTAGCGCACCTTCCTCCAGGAGCATGGCTTCAAACACTGACAGGTCATCGTCGTCGCAGCGCTGCTTCGCCCGCAGGAGCATGCTGTACGTCTCATAGCGCGTTTTCTACAAGATGGAGACGTTTCGTTAATTGGCTGAAAATGTACACGCTCTCAGGCCATCCAAGATGTAGATGAGTTTGTTTCTTCATCAGGTTTGGAGAAATGTAGCATTGCATCACTGTCTCACCAGTGGATCCTCTGCAGTGAATGGGTGCCGTCAGAATGAGAGTCCAAACAGCTGATAAAAACATCACAGTAATCCACACCACTCCAGTCCATCAGTTAATGTCTTGTGAAGCAAAAAGCTGAAACAAATCCATCATTAAGAGGTTTTTAACTTCAAACTGATGCTTCCAGCTAAAATACGAGTCCATAATCCATAATAACGCTTCCGACAGTGAAAAACTTGTCTCGTCTGAATCAGGAGAAAAATCTGCACAGATCAAGCACCGTTTACAAGCCA